TCCGGTTGCAATGACAATACTGCAGAACCTAGTAAAATAACATACAGGACATAAACCCTCTAGAACACTGCCCCACAATGATTTACTGAACTGCAATCACATACGGTGATTGCTTAACTCTAGCAACAATCACCATCAAATAACAACCCCTTTGCAATAACACACATGGCAAGTACTCTAATTTCCAAGTATTAGAATACTGTACACACTTACTTACTGTTGCAACTGACCCCAGGGCTCTCAATAACCCCTAGAACATAGGTCCACAATTTGCAATCACCACAGTAAATAACACAATAACACTGGGCACCGTGACACTACGATTATATATATATATATATATATATATATATATATATATATATATATATATATATATATATATATATATAATTACTGCTGACACATGTAGCCTACAGCTATCAAACGTTATTGGGAACACTAAGTAGATCTCGCACTCCTTAAATCACATGGGTGAGTGATTTATCGATCCCGCATGCCGATAAACACTACCGAGTATTACGTTACTCGACAGAGCGACGACGGTCTCTCGCGACAGCCTCGTCACTCACAAAATTCTACCAAGATTACATTAATACTGCAACCACAATATATAAATATATAAATCACACTTGCCCTGGGAACAATACAAGAAATTAAGACCACACTGTGGTACATTCCACAATAAACATTGCCAGGAATCACTGACGTTCACACACACTAACCTGAGCGCTCAGTGTTGGAATTCCACACCTGCAAGACTACACATGGAAATAATATCACTCCATCCCACGGACGATCAAAAATGATTTAATTACCACAATAGAATAATATACTATTACAAGGACATCCTCTCAGTCCATGGCTAATCTATGTATACTCTGTTCCCATGTGTACCCACACACACACACACACTGTACGTCTGTGTACACAAGATGTAAGTCACTCTGGACTGACAAGATGACAATAAGGGGTGATTATCTCCTCGTCCACACTTCACTTCACCTCTGCAGGTGCTGTGTGACAATGTGATGGAACACCTGACTTTCGAATTCAAGCTTTTAGAGACTAACTGGTCACCAGAAATATACACATAGGTACTTACTCATTCATACTGCCGGCCTACACACCATTCCCATACATCAGGCACCCCGCTACGGGTGGCTGGCTCACAGTGGTGGAGATTAGGCGGTGCTGGTACCTCACGTGGTATTTTACGTACACTTGGCGCACACTCGACCCCCCTCCCCTCACAACACGGCTCGTTTCTCACCTTCGACCCATCGGTGAAGTGAAGCGTTCGCACCCAGGTGACGCGCACAACGATAGCGTCTTACACAAACATGGGAAATCTGCCTTAAAACACTGACACAAATTTCCCCATTCCCATCGACTGGTACAGAGCACTAGTAAGGCATTATTAATAATCACTGGTATGGGATCTACGAGTCTGTTACTGCTCATATGCACATTACCCCACAATCCCAGATCACAAGATCGTCTCTACCCACTGTACACAATGTCTTTTTCCCCTTCGAGCGACGACTTCGGCCGGATTCTGCGACGGCCGCCGTAGTAGATGAAGCAGGAGGTGAAGCAGTTGAGTAGTCAAGCCACCACGACGCCCTATACTCAATTTGGCCGAATTGAGTACAGAGAGCATCTTGACCCTGTGGCAGCTGTGTTCAGAATGACGCTTACACAGGCGATTCCTGCGTCCTCCTCGAAATAACCAATGAGAGGAAGGCATACAGCGGCCTACCCCTCTCAACCAATCAGCGACGGTGTAGCAAGGCCCCTAGGGCAATTCCAAGATGGCCGTCCAACATGGCGGCTCAAGATGTTTACTAAGATGGCGGCTGTTTCCATGACGACGACTGGCTAGCGCTCGGGAGGCCCACAGCTCACCCACGCCTGCGGCATCCTAGCTTGTTTCCTGCGCAAACTCGAGTCTCGCGTCAAGCCATACAATGAGATGATACTATCGGCATATCTCTGTCCACAGACGTGCTACCCCCGGCCAGGGTAACATTTCTGGACTGCTGATGACTGGGGCTCTCACATGAGCCCAAACACTAGATGTTTCGGTTGCTGGTTACCAAGCTTAAGTCCGCACACTTTACAAGTGCACTTAACAAGTGTACTGGCCTCCACAGGCATAAGAGCACTATTGTAAGTGAGCTGGTGAATCATCTCCTCACAATTGTTGTGGATTATTAATGAAGGTTATTGTGGGGGATTATTATAGTGTTATTGTGGTGGATTATTTTTGTGTTATTGTGGTGGATTATTATCAAAGGTTATTGTGGTTGATTATTTTGGAGGATATTTTGTGGGATTATTATAGTGGGTTATCGTGTTGGATTATTTTGGTGGATTAATTTCATTGATGAATATTGAGTGTAATTCAGGTGGATAATTATGGAGTGATATTTTAGAGGGTTATTGTAATTGATAAATATTTAGGGATATTGAGGTGGATTATTTGAGGTTTAAAGAGGTGGATTATTGTGGTGGATTATTATTAATACCCTCTGGAAAAACCAGAGGGTTTATGTGTTTGATTATTATAGAGGGTTACTTTGGAGGATTATTCTGGTGGATTATTCTCACGGATTATTATGGAGGGTTATTGTGGTAGATTATTTTGGAGGGATTTTGTTGTGAAGTATTATTGTGTTGGCTTAATATGGATGGTTATTGCGGTGAATTATTTGGTGGCTCAGGCGGGGTCATTTGAGGAGGTGAATAAAATACTGGGTTGAGGACTTTATTAATCAGGAAGAGTCGTGGTCAGTGTGTGGGGTCACCCGCTGGGGTCACGACGGTCCTCAAGTCGGCCCCATGTTCCTTAGATCCTCGACCCCAAGACTGTTGGATCTTCCTTTTACCTTAAGTCAACATTTTAATATTATTTGCCAAAACACGTAATAAACTCAGCAACCGAACATGTTGAATAAAGTCCTGAACAGCAGATGAAATATGAAGTCACCTCAGAAGTTTGGCTTCAGTAGCAATTAAAAGTGACTTAGAACAAAATATATAACTGAGGGTTTAAATGATGTTTAATATTTTATTGCGAAATTTCTACGGGTTATTATTACAACAGACTATTATTGTAGGTTAGTAGTGTGGGTTATTATTACAAGAGGCTATTATCGTAGATTTTTAGTGCATGTTATAATTGTAGGTTGTTATACCAGTTTGCTGTTCATTCGGGATATTGAGATTGATTATTGAGGCAGGTTATTATAACAGGTCACTAGGAATAGTTTAACAACTGATTGTTTCGTCCGATCATCTACATAAACTGATTGTTGTGGTTGGTTATTACATCAGGCTATAACGTAAAGGTTATTAGACTAGTTAAGACGGGTTAATGGAGCGTGGAATTTCGAGAGATGGTTGTACAGGGTTTTGCAGCATGTCTTTGTGCTGGATATTACCTGGAATATACCCATACACAGCTGGGTGGCCCAGCTGTGTATGGGTATGGTGCCAGTCCTGTTACTACAAGAAGCTGGGTTGACCAGCTGTTTATGGGGGGCCTCGATATGGTTACAGGCTCTCACAATAGCAAGTTGGGTTCCAAGCTATATATGGGAGCCTGGGTATGGTGCCTGGCCTGTCACTATAGCAAATTGGGTGGAATAGCTGCATATGAGCGCTTGATGTGGTGATAGGGCCCTGTCACTATAGCAAGTAGGATGGACTAGATGTATATGGGGCTGGGTATGGTGCCAGGCCAGTTACTATAGCTGGGTAGCCACCTTCCCGATATTTTACATTTCTTACCAAACTAAGAATTCCTATCCCAGTGACAGTGTTAGTAGAATGGGTTGTGCCGTGTAACCTATAGATTATTATGGAGGGTTATTGTGGTTGATTATTATGGAGGGTTATTGTGGTTGATTATTATGGAGGGTTATTGTGGTGGATTATTATGATGGGTTAGTGTGGTGAATTATTTTGTAATGATATTGTTGTTGATTATTATGGAGAGTTATTGTGGTGGATTATTATGTAGGATTATTTTGGTGGATTATTATGGAAGAATTTTGTTGTGGATTATCATGGAGGATTATTTTTTGTGGATTTTTTTGTGGTGGATTATTTTTGAGGGTTATTGTGGTGCTTGTTACAGTTCTGGCGATTGGGTTGGTAATACAACTAAGATGAGAGGTTAAGAGATACTATAACTATCGCCATGGATCTTTGTTACCCTGTGGTTGGGTTCCACTGACGACCCTGGGAGTCCCCGGAGTACCACGGGTTGAATCACTGCCTACAACCCGGCCTTGTGCCCGTGGGGAGTGACGAAACTCAGCTCTCCCTGCGGGTCGTTGATTCTGCAGCCTGTAGCACTTCAGCCGAACTTTCCTGCCATAACACAACATATAGATAAACCCGTTACTTACCTGTGATATTCACCTGCTTAGGTCGCCACCTGGGTATCAGAATTCACGTCCCAGCAACGCTTCTCAGTGGTCTTATAAAGTAATGCCAGCCAAGGATACGATGACAGCAGTAGTGTTGTGCAAATACTGAATTACTTTCATGATCTCCCAAGAGATGGAGGATACATGCAAACACAATAGTAAAAAAATAACTAGTTTACTAGAAAAGTCTATGCTATGCATAAAGATAAATAAATAGTAGAATTGGCAGGTGGCAGCAGCATTCCTCATGTCATACCTGTCATTATTCGTATTTGCCCTTGCCGCCTGCTTACGTTTAATATATCCACAGTACGGAGAAACCGGACCACCCTTCTGTGGCGAGGAAGAGGACACGGGTGGCGCCCACGAAGTTATCCAGCCAGCTGGACCATCAGCTGGAGCCTCATCAGCCATAACCTCAGCAGCTGGAACATTTGTAGCTGGCCTTCAGCATCCGGAGCATCGTCAGCTGGAACATCTTCAGATGGAACATGCCAACTGGAACATCAGCAGCTGGAGCATCCTCAACTGGACACCGCCAGCTGGAACATCAGCTACCGGCTATTCAGCTAGAACCTCATCAGCTGGAAGATCAGCAGCTGGAACATCGGCGGCTGGAGCATTAGCTGCTGGAGCATCGGCTGGAACCTGAGCCGCTAGAGCAACGGCGGCTAGATCATCTGCAGCAGGAACGTCAGCAGCTGGAACATCGATGGCTGGAACAGCATCAGTTGGTACATCCTCAACTGGAGCATCATCGGCTGGAACATAATCGGCTGGAACACCGCCAGCTGGAACATCAGCTGCTGGAACCTCAGGTGCTGGAACATCAGTGGCTAGAACATCCTCTGCTGGAACTTCAGCTGCTGGAGCATCGGCTGGAACCGCATCAGCCAGAACATCAGCAGCTGGAACATCATCAGCTGGAACAACTTCAGCTGGAACTCCGCCAGCTGGAACATAAGCTGCTGGATCATCGGCTGGAACCACAACAACCGGAACATCAACAGCTGGAACATCGGCGGCTGGAACACCACCAGCTGGGACATTAGCTGCTGGATCATCGGCTGGAACCTCGGCAGCTGGGCAGCCAGAACGTCAACAGCTGGAACGTCAGCAGAGGGAACATTGCTGACTGGAACATCATCGGCTGGAACATTTCAGCTGGAACACTGCCAGTTGGAACATCAGCTACTAGATCATGGGCTGGAACCTCCTCAGCCGAAACACCAGCAGTTGGAACATCAGCGGCTGGAACATCCTCGCCTGAAACACTCGGCTTTGCTTATGATGGACGGTACAACTGCGAGAGGATGCTCAGCATGGGAGCTGCACCCTTCTGCAGGATCTTCGAGACATTCTCCAGCGCCCTGCAATGGATCCTCACAGAAAAGTTCGGGGTGCGGGATGTGAGAAGGTGCTTTCACGCCTACAGGCGATGCCGCCCTTGTTCCTATGAGACGCAGCCCTCGACGAGATGCCAACCGCAGTCCCTCAGCATCTCCTGCCCTGCAACTCTGAGGACGCTGCTCGACTCCCTGCAACCTGCGACCCGGTGTTTCAGGCGCCTACTGCATTGACTGCTGGGGGCCCCAGACCCCAGGGAGGGGTCTGTGGCTCGGATTACGAGAGGACCGGCTACCGAGCGCTCTTCCCTCTGGCTTTCCACTCCTGCCTCCGTCCGGGGAAGGCGACCTACGCGGAGAAGGGACAACATAAGCTACGCCAGGACCAGATAACTTTAACGAAAACGGGAATCAACATTGCTTTTGCCTACTACAAGCACAGCGCGGGACGCACACTGACTTTAGCCCTCAACACCGAGCCCTACAACAAGTCTGCCCGGTCCGTGCCATAGCGAAGTACATAGGACGGCGGGGCACGAAACCTGACCTATATTCAAAGACGAGACGGGCGCCCCAGACACCCGACAAGTTTTCTTAAGGGTGCTCCGTGCCGCCATTGCAGCGCTGGGACTACCTCCAAATGATTACGCCCCCCACCCCCCTTTCGAATAGGCAGGGCCACACAGATGTCAAAGGATGGCCTCGCGCCGGCGGCAATTATGGCAGTTGGCGGATGGAAAAGTGACGCATTCTACCCCTAAGTAAGGCAGGACGTTATTATCAATCCCTCGCCGACAGCTCCCTTTGCTGCCAGGGGCCACCTCGCCCTTCAGGGGGGGGTGGAGTCCGACTGCGCTGGCCTGTGGAGTGGGGGTACTTCGCCGGATCCCCAAGTGTATCGATCGCTGCCCGCAGCTAGTTCCCATATGTCAAGAGCACCCTTGTAGTTTCAACCTATTATTGCAGACTTTACATGCAATCTAGGCACTAACAAGCTCTACCCTTAACCCGGGAAATCTTATACATCTTCTCTCCTTGGCGGCTAGGCCTAATGATCTGTGCTATTTTCCTCCTAGTTAACAACAGGCACTTCCTAGTCTCTATGTACCATTCGCCGCACTTGCTATTTACTGTATTAACTGTATTATTTATTGGGTTTGCTATCCCGGAGCTGGCATTGGTGATATTATAAACAACATGAATGATATTATGGCTGGTAATGGGAACAATCCCATTATTTGCATTAGCGTGGGAGGAAATGATGTTGGTCGAGTCAGGAGTGAGGAACTGATTCAGAGGTATAAAACAGCCATAGAGTTAGTTAGGAGCAAGGGAGGAATCCCGATCATATGTGGCATTCTTCCAAGAAAGGGAGTGGGAAATGAATGGATATCGAGGGCACTTGGTGTCAATTGCCGGCTGGAAAGATATTGCAAATCAAATGCAATATCTTTCATAGACAACTGGGAACACTTCTATGGAAGAAATGAAATGTATGCTCGTGATGGGGTGCATCTATCGAGAGCTGGGGTTGTTGCTGTTGCGAACTCGCTAGAAGAAGTGGTTAGAGGTGTTTGTTTGGGTTTAAACTGTTAGTAGATAGAGGTATGGGAATTGATTTGGAGGAAGGAGGTAATAAAAGTATGTGTTTGTGGGAGAAAGGAATTGGCAAAACGATCAGGGAAAGAGAAGGTCCGCAAAATAACAATTCACTTAGGGTATATTACACTAACAGTAGAAGTCTAAGAAATAAAATTAACGAATTAAATGCTCTTGTCTGCACAGAAAAAATAGATATTATTGCACTTACCGAAACGTGGATGAATGTAGAAAATAGAGAACTATTAGCTGAATATCAAATATATGGATTTAAACTATTTCACACAGATAGATATATTAGACGAGGAGGTGGAGTAGCCATATATGTTAGGGACAATTTGAAATGTAGTCTCAAAGAGGGAATCAAAACAGAGCCACACACAGAAACTATTTGGATTGAATTAAACGAAAAAGCTAATAATATTATAATAGGAGTAATATATAGGCCACCAAATTTAGACAGAATGGAAGCAAAGCATCTATGGGATGAAATATCTAGAGCATCTAGATCTAACAGTATTTATGTCATGGGTGACTTTAATTTTAGCGGAATAAACTGGTTGAACAAAACAGGGAATAGTGAAGCAGAAGATTTTCTAGAATTAATTGACGATTGCTTTCTTACGCAACACATTAAGGAACCAACACGGGAAAATAATATTTTAGATTTAGTGTTAACTAACAGGGAAACGCAAATTAATGACATCGAAATAGGGAGTGAGCTAGGGAGCAGTGATCACAAAGAAATCAGATTTAGCATAGAATGGAATAGACCAGTAGGGGAAAATTCTGTTAAAGTGCCAGATTTTCGAAAAGCTGATTTTAATAGCCTAAGAAATTTTTTGGGTCAAATTGATTGGAAAGGCTTGGGTATGGGGTGTGGGCCGGTCTTGGAGCGAGACATGAACCCAGCGATAGGTGACTTAAATGGGGATTTCGATGTGGATTCAATATATAACTTATTTAAGAATATTCTAAACAAAGCACAGGAACGTAGTATACCATACAAATTGAATAGATCGTATACTAATGACCCAAAGTGGATAACAAAGAATTTGAAGAACCTTATAGGTAAAAAGAGAGCTTGGTACAAAAGGATTAAAAATGGGGGGGTCACTTTAGAACAGGAATTCGTACAACTGGTTAGAAATGTTAAAAAAGAGATAAGGAAAGCAAAAAGAAACTATGAAGTTCGCATAGCAGGGCAAGCAAAGACAAATCCTAAAGGGTTTTTTCAGTTATATCGTACTAAGACTAGGGAAAGGATAGGTCCATTAAAAACTGAGACAGGTCAAATAACAGATAGTGATGAAGAGATGAGTAGTATTTTTAATAAATATTTTGTATCTGTATTTACTAAAGAGGAACTTAACAATATGCCTTCAGCCGAACAAGTCTATGTGGGTGGGGACGAGCACAGGTTGACGAGTTTAGCAGTTACCAGGGAGGATGTTCTTAAACAAATAGTAAAACTCAAACCAAACAAATCCCCAGGGCCGGATGAAGTGTTTGCTAGGGTGCTTAAAGAATGCAAAGAGGAGCTTTGTGACCCACTGTCAACCATATTTAATAAATCAATAGAGTCAGGCAGAGTGCCAGAGTTTTGGAAAGTTGCTAATGTGATACCAGTTTTTAAGAAAGGAGATAGATCACTTGCGTCTAACTATCGACCAATTAGCCTAACGTCTATTGTGGGAAAGTTACTCGAATCTATAATAGCAAATAAAATTCGTCTTCATCTTGAAAAACATAAATTAATAATTGAGTCGCAACATGGTTTTATAAATGGCCGTTCATGTTTAACAAATTTGTTATCTTTTTATTCTAGCATTGTTGAGGCAGTTGATAGTGGTAAGGATTGCGATGTTGTATACCTTGACTTTAGCAAAGCTTTTGATACAGTGCCACATGAAAGACTGATTAAAAAAATAGAGTCTCATGGTATTGGGGGTGCTATATTAAGCTGGATTAGGGCATGGCTATACCAAAGGAAACAGAGAGTTAGTATAAATGGAATCAAGTCAGAGTGGGAAAATGTTGTAAGTGGAGTGCCTCAAGGCTCTGTCCTGGGACCTCTGTTGTTTATAATATATATAAATGATTTAGATTCAGGTTTGAGTAGCAACATTTGCAAATTTGCCGATGATACGAAAATCGGTAGGGAAATTAATTCGGAGGAGGACTCACTATCACTTCAAGTTGATCTAGATAGGGTTTTGAAATGGTCAAAGGATTGGCAGATGCAGTTTAATGCTGATAAATGTAAAGTTCTGAGGTTAGGTAATGATGATAGAGTTACAAGATACGAGCTAGATGGTGTTGTGATTGCGAAGTCGGATTGCGAAAGGGATCTGGGAGTTATGATTAGTAAGAATTTAAAACAAAAGGATCAATGCATAAATGTTCGTAATAAGGCAAATCGGACACTTGGATTTATTAATCGCAGCGTTAGTAACAAGACACCTGGTGTGGTTCTCAAGCTATATCTTGCTCTAGTTAGGCCCCATTTAGATTATGCAGTTCAGTTTTGGTCGCCATATTATAGAATGGATATAAATTCACTTGAACGTGTCCAGCGTAGGATGACTAAGTTAATTCCCCAAATTAGAAATCTTTCATATGAAGAAAGATTAACAAAGCTTAAGTTGCATTCACTGGAAAGGCGAAGAGTTAGGGGTGACATGATAGAGGTTTACAAGTGGATGAATGGACATAACCGGGGGGATATTAATAGGGTATTGAAGGTGTCGACACAGGACAGAACACGAAACAATGGATATAAATTGGATAAGTTTAGATTTAGGAAAGACTTGGGTAAATACTGGTTCAGTAACAGGGTTGTTGATTTGTGGAACCAATTGCCGCGTAACATTGTGGAGGTGGGGTCCCTCGATTGTTTCAAGCACGGGTTGGACAAGTATATGAGTGGGATTGGGTGGTTATAGAATAGGAGCTGCCTCGTATGGGCCAATAGGCCTTCTGCAGTTACCTTTGTTCTTATGTTCTTATGTTCTTAACTCACCTAGGCATTTGTCATAAGAACATAAGAACAAAGGTAACTGCAGAAGGCCTATTGGCCCATACGAGGCAGCTCCTATTCTATAACCACCCAATCCCACACATATGCTTGTCCAACCCGTGCTTGAAACAATCGAGGGACACCACCTCCACCACGTTACGCGGCAATTGGTTCCACAAATCAACAACCCTGTTACTGAACCAGTATTTACCCAAGTCTTTCCTAAATCTAAACTTATCCAATTTATACCCATTGTTTCGTGTTCTGTCTTGTGTTGATATTTTTAATACCCTGTTAATATCCCCCCTGTTATGTCCATTCATCCACTTGTAAACCTCTATGATGTCACCCTTAACTCTTTGCCTTTCCAGTGAATGCAACTTGAGCTTTGTTAATCTTTCTTCATATGAAAGATTTCTAATTTGGGGAATTAACTTAGTCATCCTACGCTGGACACGTTCAAGTGAATTTATATCCATTCTATAATACGGCGACCAAAACTGAACTGCATAATCTAAATGGGGCCTAACCAGAGCAAGATATAGCTTAAGAACCACACCAGGTGTCTTGTTACTAACGCTTCGATTAATAAATCCCAGTGTCCTATTCGCCTTATTACGAACATTCATGCATTGATCCTTTTGTTTTAAATTCTTACTAATCATAACTCCCAGATCCCTTTCGCAATCCGACTTCGCAATCTCAACACCATCTAGCTCGTATCTTGTAACTCTATCATCATTACCTATCCACAGAATTTTACATTTATCAGCATTAAACTGCATTTGCCAATCCTTTGACCATTTCAAAACCCTATCTAGATCAACTTGAAGTGATAGTGAGTCCTCCTCCGAATTAATTTCCCTACCGATTTTCGTATCATCGGCAAATTTGCAAATGTTGCTACTCAAACCTGAATCTAAATCATTTATATATATTATAAACATAAGAACATAAGAACATAAGAACAAAGGTAACTGCAGAAGGCCTATTGGCCCA